ATTATATTTCTACAAAGCGTTGGGCTTTTGCAATTTATTTGTGTATCCGTTTATTATATTTCTACAAAGCGTTGGGCTTTTGCAATTTGTGTATCTGTTTATTTGTTTATTATATTTCTACAAGGTGTTGGACTTTTGCAATTTATTTGTGTGTGTTTATTATATTTCTACAAAGCGTTGGGCTTTTGCAATTTATTTGTTTGTTTATCTGATTATTTGCTTATTTATTATGTTTCTACACCTCCCATCATATCTGAGCAACTCTGGGGATTTTACAGACTAAGAACACCTTTATTGTGACTTTGAATGTACTAATCGGCATATATTGAAATGAAATTTCATTGCCCATAATAAAAAAACAATAAAAAGCATACATTAAAATAAATTTAATGTATGCTTTTTATTCTGTGTTTTAATTTATGAGTTAAATTTAACTCATAAAGAGTTAACAACAAACAAACTTGAGTTATGAAAAAGTTAAATGAGCAAAAGGAAGAGCCACAGTTTTGGTGGTTTCCAGCTTTGTTCACACCTTCCCTGGGTTTACACGTTCAAATTTATACTGAAATTTATACAGTTGCTTCCCTCCGCCTAATATCGAGTCATTGTTTGTTTAATCATGGCTTACTGTTAAAATCACTGCTGAGGAATGAAATTGCAGAGCATTCAGCTGCGTTGTGAGGTGAGCATAGCTCACTTCCAGCTCTTCCTGAAGAGAATCAATGGTCAGGGCAGATTAATAGGTGGATGTACAGGAACCGGTAATAAGGACAGAGTTTGTGGGAAAATACTCATCCAAATGCAGAAGGATTTCTGAACGTGAGGTTACTAAAAGACTGCAGTGTGCAAGTCGGCTGGGTTCATACAAGCAACCCATTTTGTGAATTTGCAGAGTGCGGTGAACTATGGTAATCAAATGGGTTGTTTTCAGGACAGGGATGTTGTAATCGAACGAGTTGTGTTGGCATTGCAACAAACTGGCCCGTAGGATGATGTGAAGCTTCATGATGTTATGCCACAAAGGTTGCAGTGTGGTTCTGGAGTCCTTGCATCTATTGCAAATTTATTCGGTAACCCGTATTTGTTATGACATCTACATGGTTGTGTTATTTAACCATCTACGCCCCTTTATTGGCTGGAATTCGCAACACTAGGGACCACAAAAAAAAACCTTATGCACCTTTATTATTGATATAAATAACTCAAGGCCGTGAACATATCTGATACTCCTTCTCCTATTTTCCTCACAACAACAACCCTGTGAGGTGAATTTGGCTGAAAGAGAGGGACTAGCCCAAAGTCACTCAGCTGGCTCTCATGCCTAAGGTGGGACTAGAACTCACAGTCTCCTAGTGATTGACCCAAAGTCACCCAACTGGCTTGCATGCCTAAGGTGGGACTAGAACTCACAGTCTCCTAGTGATTGGCCCAAAGTCACCCAGCTGGCTTGCATGGTTAAGGTGGTACTAGAACTCACCATCTCCTGATTTCTAGTCTAATGCCTTCAACACGAGACCAAACTGGTTCTTCATAGCCACTTAAGTGGCTGAGAGAGATTTACTAGCACAAACTTATTTGAATCTGGGTTTTCCTGCCACAGTTTTGGTTCAACCACCATTTCTTACTGATCTTCAAAGAAGATCAGTAATATCTACAAAGAAAGATGGGGAACCTTGTCGTCCTTTTTCAGACCTTCCTATGTCTCAGCCAGATGCTGACTAGCAGGATTTACATTCTCAGCGCATATGGTTGATTTATCAACTAAAACAGGAATCTAAGCCGTGGCATCAATCCTAGACTGCTTTTCAATTTAAGAGAATCATTTACCAGTCTGGATTATTGATTAGTTTACACCAAGCCAGGCATCTAATCTTCAGTGGACTTTACTACTACATACCCAAAGCGCTCTGTTTAAAACAGCTCATCCTCAGGAATGACTTCATGGTGGTTTATTTTGCATGTCTGGTTTCAATAACACCCTCCCCCTCACCTCACCATATATTGTAAACCAAGATTTAGAACTGAACCATTGTGGCTTATTTAACAAAACATGATTAGAGAAATTGCGGCTCCATACAGTGTGAGAATCCGTCTAAGGTGCAGAGAAGAGCAACAGAGATGATTAGGGGACTGGAGGCTAAAACATGAAGAATGGTTGCTGGAATTGAGTATGTCTAGTCTTATGAAAAGAAGGACTAGGTGTGATATGACAACAGTGTTCCAGTATCTCAGGAGCTGCCACAAAGAAGAGGGAGTCAAGCTATTCTCCAAAGTACCTGAAGGCAGGACAAGAAGCAACTGGTAGAAACCAATCAAGGAGAGAAGCAACCTAGAACTAAGGAGAAATTTACTGACAGTGAGAACAGTTAATCAGTGGAACAACTCGCCTCCAGAAGTTGGAAATGCTTCAACACTGGAAATGTTTAAGAAGAGATTAGATAACCATTTGTCTGAAATGGTTATCTATTTCCTGCCTAAGCAAGCGGTTGGGCTAGAAGACCTCCAAGGTCCCTTCCAACTCTATTATTCTATGTTCTAAATCCCCACCCCTCTGGAAGGGGTAGAACACACAGAACCAGAGAAGATAAATATTGCAGAATGACAGCAGGCAGCAATCAGATCTGTACAAGACAGAAGCCTCCTCCACGGCTATGATGACCAGGGTCCCTGGGTTATGTAGTTCTCAGCAGAATGCAACAGCTGGACTGGGGGTGAGCAGAAAACAGTTCTTGCTGACTATTGATTGATATATGGCTTTGACTGCAGGTAAATTTAATATGCATAGACACTGAATCAGGCATGTCCAAGCGAAGGGCAATGAGCATTCTGCCCTGATCATTTTCCATGTACAAATTTATGCACGCCCACTCACCGGTAAGAGATTCTGTCCATCTATTTTTTTATTATTATTTCATTTATTTACTTGTCAAGTAATTATAAGATAACAGGTATAAGTATAAACATAGTTATGGATACATGAAATGGATACATATAAGAAAAATAAAAAAATCAATAGGACAGGGATGGTAGGCACGTTGGTGCACTTATGCACACCCCTTACAGACCTCTTAGGAAAAGGGTGAGGTCAATAGTAGACAGTCTAAGATTAAAGTTTTTGGGGTTTGTGGAAGAAACCACAGAGTCAGGTAGAGTATTCCAGACATTGACCATTCTGTTGCTGAAGTCATATTTCCTGCAATCAAGTTTGGTGCGATTAACCTTGAGTTTTTATCTGTTGTTTGCTCTTGTGTTGTTATGGTTGAAGCTGAAGTATTTATTGACTGGTAGGACATTGCAATGTATGATTTTATATACTATACTTAGATCGGACCGAAGGCGGCATAGTTCTACGTTTTCTCGGTCTAGAATTTCAAGTCTGGTGGCATAAGGTATTCTGCAACGAGTAGAGGAGCGGAGAACTCTTCTTGTGAAATATTTCTGGACTTTCTCAACTGTGTTAATATCAGATATCTATCTGTTTTCTTTCTTGTTAAAGTTTTTCCCCACCCCCATCAATTCATATTTCCTAATTCCTTCCTCAAGTCAGATTTGGAGGCAAGTAACAGGACAGAAAACCGATCTGGGGAACCATAAAACTCTGCCTTTTAGACTGGATGCAAGAGAGGAGGAAAATAGTAATAATAATGAAACTTTGGACTTCTGGACATTCTTCAAAATGCTTTCTGGCTAAGACTGAGAAAGAGGAGGAGTTGGAGCACATTATCAAGAGAGACAGAACTCAGAAGGATTATAGCGGTGATCAAAACCAGGGAACAGATGGAAACTGCAACCCTAGAAGACCTAACAGTTCCTTAGCGTAGAAAAAAGGGAGAAAAAAAACCTGGGCACTTGACCATTTAAATGTACTGCGTAGGTCTTATCTGAAAAAACATGTAATTTTCCCGCACTGCTTTTGAAGTATCATTACTGGGTGGCTTTGGGTTTTAAGTCAGTTGGTGTTTGAAATTGGTTGAACCGGTTGGACTGCTTTATTAATAGCCTTTCTGGATGGAAGCTAGACAGTTACAGAGTCCATGTTTTGAATTCAGCGGTTGTGATTTTGCATTTTGTGAATCTTGTGTTTTCGTAGAACCAGAGCCAGACATGGTGGATGGATCTCCCAAGCTTTGCCGCCTGTTTTCAAAACACTGTTGCAGTTTGGATCCCTTGCATCTATCTATGGATTTCTTTCCCCTTCTATTATCTTTACCTTCAGAAAAACCGCAGGGGGTATATCAGGATGTCGGCTGTCTTCAAAGCAAAAATGGTAAGGTTCAAACCCGGGAGAAGGATTCCAACCAGTGGTGGGATTCAGCCAGTTCGTACCAGTTTGAGAGAACCGCTTGTTAACTTTCTGACCAGTTTGGTGAACTGGTTGTTGGGAGAAATCATTAGAGCAGAGAACCGGTTGTTAAATTATTTGAATCCCACCACTGATTCCAGCCATCCATAAACATGTCGGATTCTTTGTTCTTTTGTGGGATTCTTTGTTCTTTTGTTCAATTTCAGTGGCTGCCCATTTCAGTCAATGAGTCTGGATGGCTTACCATTCATAAAAGATATTACAATTAAAAATATAAAAAACACACCTTTAAAACAAAAACAGTAAAACCGGTAAAAACATCCAATTCAATATAATTGTGGTTAAACATCCAATCAATACAGTGGTGGTTATTATCATTATGCTGTTCTCTTTCCACCTAGAGTGTTCAAGCACAAATAAGAATGATGAAGTGGTAGAAATACAGTTTAAAATACGGGTAGACCAAATTTTCCATTGCCTAAGCAAGGCAGTTGTTCAGTGAGTCACGTCTGACTTTACAACCTTTGGGCCGCGGTCATTAAGCGAATCACTGCCATTGCTAAGTGAATCATGTGGTAATTAAATGAATCTGGATTCCCTCGCTTGTTGGAAGCAAGATAGAAAGTCACAAATGGAAATTGCATGACCCCCCAAGATCCTAAAACCATTATAAATACAGGATGGTGCCCAAACACATGAATTTTGATTACGTGGCCATTGGGATTGGCCATAATCAGAGGTGGCTCAGGAGAGCCGCTAGCGAAGACTCTGCAGGGCTCAGAGAGCCCCCAATAACCTCAGAAAGAGAAGCAGCAAGAGAAAGCTCTGAATAGGCGTAATTGAACTTCTGGGCATTCAGCCAAGAGCATTTCACACCTGATAAAAGTGTTGCAAGCTAGATAAACAATCCACTCAGTGCTTGCGAGGGAGAGCCATTGAGAAAATCAGAGAACATAGCCACTCGCCTCCGAGGGGATTAATCCTCAAATAATAAGAATCGCGTAAGTCATCAAAAATTCCACTAAGACTCCAAGATCCCTCTCACAGTCACTGCTATTAAGCCTGGTTCACCCAGTCTTTTATTTAAGGATTAAATGCATGAAATAATAAACAACTTTTTGGTATATTATCCTTTTTAGGTAATTAGGGCAAAGAAGCAACCTCGATTTGCTGGAGTTGGCTACATCCACACCCAGTCATATGACCACCCAGTCACGCCCAGCCAGGCAGTCATTAGGGCAGAGAGCCCCTTGCTAAAAAATTTGAAGCCCACCCGCTACAATGGCTACAATGGTTGTTAAGTGTGAGGACTGGTTGTAAGTCACTTTTCCCAGTGCCATTGTGGTTTCCAACAGTTGCTCACCGAATGACTGTAAGTTAAGGACTCCCTGTAAAATGGATCTCAATTTTTTCTAATTGTGTTCTTTTCCGTTTCTTTAGATTCTTGGCTTTGCCTTGTTCTTGCTGTGTTTCTCCACCATCTCCTACCTCCTTTGGAAAGCTAGCCAAGGGGTTTCACCAGCACCCGAGCTCATAATTAGCCCTACAATTCAACTGGTCACCATGGTTGGTTGTCTCTATTTTTCACACATGCTTCTTTGCTTTGGAACTTAGGATATTATTAGCCATAATGCTGGCAAGATCTGTGCGCCTTGCCCAATTAGAATCCGAGCCTGAAAAGTGGTTGAATATCTCTTTATTTTTGCACAAACAAGGAGAGGCGTGATTAATAAGTGAGAAGAGCCCCCCACCCCTTAAAAAATTCAGGGAATCCCTTGATATCCAGTTCAAACACATTGGGTTCGGAACAAGTTCTTTCATTCGTTAGCTTCATAGGACTCTTTGCTGATGTTACCCATGTAACATGTAACATTTAATAGCATCCCATAATATCCGTGGTTTTGGGTGTGGTGCACTGGCCTAGAGGTGGAGCTCTCACCTGAAGGTCAGGACGCTGTGAGTTCAATCCTAGGTAGCGGCCGATATTTCCCTCTCTGAGCACAAATGATCTGCTGCAAACTCTGCATTGGCAAGAGGAAGGGCATCCAGCCAGTAAACACTCGGCTCCATTCAGTTTCCCCAACTCTGCCCTGCAAATGTGTGTGTGTGTTTGTAGTTCGATCTTGTTGACGCTCATCCTCATATTCAGGAGGTTTTTTTACATTATAATGAGGCGTAAGGATTTGGCAGTTCAATCCTCTGTATAGTCCTTGTCTTTAGCGGGTCTGAACTGGCTCTTATCAGTCAGCCTCCTACAGCATGCCGGGGGCGGGGGGTGTTTTCACCCACCCTGGGTTCTGGAAGCTTTCCTTGAGCTTCCAGGAGGGCAAAAAAAGCCTCCCTGGGACTCCCAGAAGTTCTGGAAGGCTGGAAACGGGCCCCGTACTTACCTGGGATCCAGAACGGGGCCGCATGGTGACTCCTGGGAGAGGAGGGGCTGGACAGGGCCAGCCAGGGATGGGATTTGCCAGTTCGCTGAACCGGCCGTAAAATTAGCTACCAGTTCGGTACCAGTTCACCCAAACCAGGGCGAATCGGTAACAGTCCATCCCTGTTTACAGCTCTCTCTCTCTCTCTAAGCACTTTACGGAGTCAGCCTCTCGCCCCGAACAATCTGGGTCTTCCTTTTACCAACCTTGGAAGGACGGAAGGCTGAGTCAACCTTGAGCCTGGTGAGATTCGATCTGCCAAATGACATGCAGACGGCAGTCAGCAGAAGTAGCCCTGCAGTACTGCAGTCTGGCCACTGCGCCACCAAGGCTCTTAAATTTAGTAAGAGCCTATATAAATATAAATACAAATACTAGATATAAATACTTTGGTGTTGTGACTCCGTCATCAGCTACAGGTTTTTTGAATGAAAGCTCCAGCGAGGAGGACTTGTATGAATCAGCAAGTTTTAGTGATTTCAATGAAGAGGAGGAGACGAATGTTACAAGGGAGGACACATTTGATTTGCAGGACCGGCCTGAACCTTCAACCTCCTCTGCTTCTCAATCAGGTTATCAGCCGGGAATGGCTGACAATGAGGAACTTATAGAGACTTCAGGTGAAGATAATAATTTAGATGATTGCTGGGTGGATGTCAGAAGCAGGCGTCTCCTTACGAGAAGAAACCAACGGGAGCACAGGAGGAGGGCAGATCAGTAATTAGACTAATTAGCTGCTGCTCTATAAAGGGAGAGAGATGACTTTGCCCTTGGTCCGGAACAAAGTGTTTGTTTGCAAGGAGAACCGAAGATTTTGGCTTGGAGGATTTAAACCTGAAATATCTTGTTGGGACTTGGATTTATTTCGTTGGAACTATTAACTTGAACTATCTTGTGGAGGCTATTTACAGCTGTTATCTGTGAAGATTCCTGTTTGCTGCCTTTATTTGCAAGGACTGCTGCTTTCAGCCTTATCTGTTTATTTTGGAAGGTGGGACATAACACTTTGGCATTTCTCCTCCATTTTAGGTCCTGGTGGTTTTTCTCACCCAGATGGAACGGATGAAAGGGGTCCAGTCCTCAGGTGTTTTGATGGTCTTTTGGCTGCTGTCTCTTCTTTCTTCTAGTGTCTCCTCTGGCTTCAAATTGCACCAAGCGATGGAAGGAGTAAGTCTGCCTCGGTCAGCCTTGCGAGGTAGTCCAGAAAGAAGCGAAACAGCACAGGGTGGTCCTCAACTTACGAGCAGAATTGAGGCCAGAGTTTCCATTCTTAAGCGAAGTGGTTGTTAAACGAGCGGTGCCTAAGTTGACCGTAACAAAAAAAAATCTTATAAGTTTGAAAGAACAGGCGGTCCTCGATTTATAACCACAGTCGAGCCCAAAATTTAAGCCAGGGGTCTTCAAACTTGATAGCTTCAAGACTTGTGGACTACAACTCCCAGAATTCCTCCTCCAGTCCTGTTAGCTCAGGAATTCTGGGAGCTGAAGTCCACAAGTCTTGAACTTGCTAAGTTTGAAGAGCCTTGTTTTAAGCTGTTAAGTGAGGCCTTTGTTAAGTGAGTTTTGCCCCATTTTACGACCTTACTTGCCACAGTTGCTAAGCAAGTCATTGCACTTGTTAAGTCAGTAACACGGCTGTTCAGTGAATCTGGTTTTCTCATTGACTTTGATTGTCAAAAGGTCCCAAAAACTGTTCACATGACCCCAGGACATTTCAATCGTCATAAATATGAACCAGTGGCCAAGCATCTGAATTTTGACCACGTGGCCATACGGATGCTGCAACGGTCGTAAATGTGAAAAATGTTTGCAAGTCACACTTTCAGTGCCGTTGTAACTTTGAGCGGTCACTAAACGAATTGTTGTAAGTCAAGGACTATCTGTACGTCTCTCCCCTCTCCATTTTCCACCCAAGAAGCTAGACAGGGTCTCTTCCGAGACGTTTGAACCGCAGTGGCGCAGTGGTTGGAGTGCAGTACTGCAGGCTACTTCTGCTGAACTGCCAGCTGCCTGCAGTTTGGCAGTTCAAATCTCACCATCCTTCCTTCCTTCCGAGGGGGGTAAAAATGAGGACCCAGACTGTTGCGGGGGCAATATGCTGACTTTGTAAACCACTTAGAAAGGGCTGTAAAGCACTGTAAAGCAGTATATAAGTCTAAGTGCTCTTGTTATTTGCCATACCCCCCTGAGGGCTCAGCTGCCTCTTATCTGACCATTGCCCAGTCTGCAGCTCTTCCACCTGTCTCCCCAAAGTCACGGCCATAGATCACTACAGGGCTGTTAACGGAGATGTAGGCAGTTGCTGGTTTAATAAGAACGGTGGCCGACTTTCAATTTAAACATTTTTTTTTAAAACAGGGATTCCAGGAACAGCCTTTCCAACATCTGTCTTCATACATTTGCTTTGCTCTGATTTTATCGGAACTGGTGTTGTGCTGTTTTACAGACCCCGCACCTTTCTTTTCCAAAATTAGCAACGACTCAGTAAGTAGCTGAACTTTGGATTGTTCCTTTATAGAGCTTGGAATATATTTTAGACAGTCTTGTTGGTGCGTTTTAAAGTTTCTAGACCTTAGCAGTTATAACAGAAGGGCTGGTGGGCTCTTTCCGAGCCCTCCCTCCTTCTCTCTCTCCGTCTCCCTCTCTCCCTCTCCCTTCTTCCCTCTCCCTTTCTCTTTCCCTCTCCCTCCCTCCCTCTCTCCCTCCCTCTTTCCCTCTCTCCCTCCCTCTCCCTTTCTCTCTCCCTCTCTCTCCTTCCCTCTCTGCCTCTCCCTCCTGCTCCCTTTCTCCCTCCCTCTCCCTCTCTTCCTCTCTCCCTCCCCCCCCCCTCTCAGAATAGATTTTAAAAGTTTTCATTTGTGGTCATTTTCAGGATTTCCTAAGCTCATCATGTGAACATGCATTCCTTTTACAACAAAAATGTGTAAAAATTATACTGGAGTAAATGCATAGCCCAGGGTGGTTTGGAAATTCCACTCAGATCGAGGATTATCTTGAATGTACCCTCCTAGCAATTCATTGAATATGTTCAAAGTTATGTTGAATCTCTCCACATTACAAAATACCATGTTTCTCACAAAATAAGGTCGGGCCTTATTTTTTGAGCCCCGAAAAAACAGCTAGGACGTCTTTTCAGGGGTGAATTAATTTCTCCCTCCCCCCACCATGCACCAGCGCCATCTCCAACAACAGCGTCTGAGTCGCTCCTGCTTTTCCCCCGTCCCCGTAACAACAGGGAAAAAAAAGACACTTTGGGGTACCTGGGAGCGCCACACACTGCGTTTTGGTTTAATCCCGAGCGGTTGGGTGGGCGTGAAAAGAGCCGAGTGAACGTCTTTGCTGCTGCTACCCTTGGTTCTCCAGCCTCGGGCTCTGCAAGTTTGCAAAAGTCCCGGTGCGCAGCCCGTTCCTGCATTCCAAGCACCCAGGCTGAGCTGCAGCTGTCCCTCTCTCGCCGGCGTCGTCTCCAATAACAGCGGCAGCAGCGGCGGGAACCGTGGAAGCATTTCAGCCGCTTCTCGTAACTTCCACGGTTCCCGCCGCTGCTGCCGCTTATCAAAGAGAAAAGCAACCTCAAATTAAGGAAAAACTCCCTAACAGTGAGAACAATTAACCAGTGGAACAGCTCGCCTCCAGATGTTGTGAGTGGAGGTTTTTAAGAAGAGACTGGACAGTCACTTGTCTGAAATAATAAGAGTCTCCTAGTTGAGCAGAAACTCCACCAGAAATGAGTCTTTGTGAAATTTCTCACTCTGGCGCAGCCTCTTGGAGCAGGATGCCTTGCAGGGTCCCAAAGACTCATTTCTGGCGGAATTTGGGGGAGAGAAAGGAAGACTTTTGCTGCTTTCCTTGCGTGCAGCCAAAAGCAGAAGAAGAAAGAAGTGGAAAGAAGCAGCCCAGTGGCCACATGAGGCACTTGGGGTGAAAGGGGCAAGTTCCCCTCCTCTGTCCTTTCCTCCCTCCCCTTACTACCTCATGTTCACAATGCGACACAAGCCTTGTGTTCCTGCACAGCCTGGATTAATTGCTTTGGAGGTGACATTTCTCTGCGGACCACCACAATTTTCTCACGGACCACCAGTGGTCCCTGGCCCACTGGTTGGTGACCATTGGCCTAACATTCCAAGAATTTGCTTTCTCCCACCGTCTATAGCCATGTTCATTGCATTGATGTGTGCAGATTTGACGGTTGTCTTTTTCTTAAAAACATTTGCAGAATCCTTGTCCTGAATCCGGAGCCTCTTTTGTTTCCAAAATCACATTCTGGTGGTTTGCTCGGTAAGAATAATCTGCTTTAACGTACTACCAATCAATGACTTTTGCACCTTCAACTGCAACAATCCAAGAGCACACAATAGGTATAAACTTAATGTAAACCGCTCCGATTGCAGAAAGTACGACTTCAGCAACAGAGTGGTCAATGCCTGGAACTCACTACTTCATTCGGTTGTCACATCCCCAAACGCACACACACTCCTTTTCCCTCAAACTAACCACTATTGACCTCCCCGCTTCCTAAGAGGTATGTAAGGGGCGTGCATAAGTGCACAATTGTGCCTACCATCCCTGTCGTATTGTCCCCAATTATTCGTACCCGTTTCCTGTATGTTTAAACTTATGTTTATTATCTTGTAAGCTATTGACAGATAAATACAATAAATAAGTGAGCCACAGTGGTACAGTGGTTAGAGTGCAGTACTGCAGGCTACTTCTGCTGACTGCCAGCTGCCTGCAGTTTGGCAGTTCGAATCTCACCAGGCTTAAGGTTGAGTCAGCCTTCCATCCTTCCAAGGTGGGTAAAATGAGGACCCAGATTGTTGGGGATAAGAGGCTGACTCTGTAAACCACTTAGAGAGGGCTGTAAAACACTGGGACGTGGTATATAAGTCTAAGTGCTACTGCTATGAACCATCCTTTATTGGTAATCCAAACACAATAACAGATTAATCTGATGCATAGCATTTTTCCTCTCTTGTGGCTTGATCTTTTTGCTTTCTGCAGGCTGATCTGGAAAGGCTACTGGATTCCATTACAGCCAGACATGCTGTGGTCACTAGCAAAAGAGAACTCTTCTGAAGAAATCATGGACAAGGTCAAAGATGCTTGGGATAAAGGTTGTCCAAAAAGTGAACAGTAAGTTCCTCGAGTTTGTGTCCATTTTTCTTGCTGCCCTATTTATTTAGAAAACCTACAAGTAATCCTCAACTTACAATTATTTGTAGAGCGACCATTTGAAATTGCAACAGCACTGAAACAAGTGACTTACGACCAGCCCTCGCTCTTACAACCGTTGCAGCATCTCCACAGCCAACAAAATTAGGATTCTTGGCAACCAGCAGTTTAAAACCCAGTGACAAATATGCAAAAAAACCAGCAAGGAATCCAGTGGTTTTTCATGCTGTATTCATGATCCCCCCCCCCCCGATTTTTAAATTGTATTTATTTATTTTTGTTTAGTTATTCAAATTTTTATGCTACCACTCTCTCCTATAAGGTGACTCCGGACAGCTTTTTAAGCACTCGGTTTCTTCCTATTCCTCTTTTAATTGGATTTCTCTCGCGTGGAGAGACTTAATCATTGGCAAAATGCTGAAAACGACACTCAAAGATGCTCGCTTGTTATGTGTTTCCTGCAGAATGACCAAATTTGCGAGATTTAAAAGAAGGCTAACCCAGAGAGAAAATGCGGATGAGACTAGCATATTGCTCCAACCGGAAGCTATCAAGAGCAAAGAACTTCTAAAAACTTTCTGGACCGTGTTTGGAACTTATTTTCTTCTGGCAACCCTCTGTTTGGTCACCTGTGATGTCTTCTTGTTTTTGGTTCCAAAGACACTGAGGTATGTGAACCTTAAACTTTGTTTTCAAAGGGGGATTAATAAGGTTCTTTGAAGGTCATCTGTCTGATCCACAGTTTAATCCAGGAAAGTAGCTGCTATCAGAGTAACTAATATTGGAGGAGACAATAATCATGCACCAGGCCAGAGGTGGTATTCAGCCGGTTCTGACCAGTTCTGGAGAACTGGTAGGGGAAATTTTGAGTAGTTCGGAGAACCGGCAAATCCCACCTCTGCCTGGCCCCGCCTCCATCTCTTCTCTGCCTCCCATCGAGTCCCAGCTGATCGGCTGGGTCTTCTTTGGTTGCCCTGCACATGAGAACGGAGCTGGAAAGCAGGTTAGTGGGGTGGGAAGGGAAGGGGGATTTTGCAGTATCCTTCCCCTGCCACGCCCACCAAGCCACCAAGCCATGCCCACAGAACCAGTAGTAAAACAATTTGATTCCCAGCACCGCACCAGACACATCTTGGCAAATAGGATCATGATGTCTTCAGTTGAAAGGATTGAGTAATGAAGGTTGGAAAACATAAGTCTCCATTTGGGATTTTAGGGGCAGGCATGAAGAATCAGGACTATACGTCAAGTGTCAGTTAAGAAGGTTTATTGCTCAAACCAATACAGAACATTCTACTCAACTAATAATCATCACTAAATTGGTGCTAGATGAGACTCAGCAGAATTCAATATGGGCTGGACTTGGATTTTGTGGGAACATTATGATTCTACGCTAATGACTCACTTAACTCTGCCCACCACTTCTACTTGCTCTTTTTCTATATTTAAATATCCCTGGCCTGTGTTATGAGCTAAAAATAAATTACATTCACCTAACACAATTAACCTGGTGGTTAATTTAACCCATTTCCTTGGCTTTGACCATTCATTGAACTATACACAAATTTCCAAACGAATCCAGATGAAATGTGCCACGTTTTGTAACTTCACAAGTAGATGCCGCTGTTAGGTCATATTTCACCAGTCAAATCAAGTACAGCATAATATAACTTGGAAGGAGAGAACTTTTTAAGATCCTAACCAGGGTCGGGATTCTACCGGTTTGGACCGGTTCTATAGAACTGGTTGTTATGATTCTGTGCAGTTCGGAGAACCAGTGTGCCCCTGGCTGGCCCCACCCCTCTCTACCCTCTCTGCCCAGTCAGTCCTTACTGCACATACGCAACATTGCACGCATGCCCAACATTGCTGGCTGCGTTCTTCCCTGTCCGCTCCTTACAGTATTTCTTTTGTTTTTTTTCCCTCCCAATGATTAGCCGTTCCTATGATCAGATGTGCTGGAATTCCCCTCGCTGTCTTCCTGCTTTGCCCAGGAGGCTTCCCTGAGGCCCCTGAAGGCAAAAAATGGAGGGGGGGACAGCAATCCACCCCCCACCCCGCCCCCCGGCTCTGTTTTTTGCCTTCCTGAACCAGGGAGCAAAAACAGCCCCCCTGAAGCCCAGAAGGCCCCCAAAACAGGAGGGGTTGCTGCAAAAAAAAAAGAAAAGAAGAAGCCACACCCACCCAGTCACATGGGCCATGCCCACCTAGCCACGCCCACCTAGCCACGCCCACAGAACCAGTTGTTTAAAAAAATGAATCCCGCCCCGAACCTAATGGCGCACCATTGGCTTAAAAGGTTTTTATGGGTGGTTGCGGCTCTCATTCCAGGACAGTAGAATTGCTTTGATTCTTCTTGTAGTCTTTTCCTAGATTTTATCAATGACCAAGAAGCTCCTCTTTGGATAGGTTACTTCTATGCTGCCGCAATGTTCCTTTTGGCTTGTCTGCAGACGCTGTTTGAGCAGCGGTACATGTATATGTGTTTCGTGCTTGGCATGAGGTTAAAAACAGCCATCACCGGCCTTGTTTATCGGAAGGTAAACCTTGCTCTTTGTTGAGCTTTTTTTTTTTTACACTGTGGTGCTCCTGGGAAGTACATCTCGGTCTTTCTGAAGGGTTCAGTTCCAAAGGAATTCAAGTCAGAAGTGGTATTCAGCAGGTTCTGACCGGTTCTGGAAAACTGGTAGCGGGAAATTTTGAGTCGTTCGGAGAACCAGCAAATCCCACCTCCGACTGGCCCCTCCCCCATCTCTTCTTTGCCTCCCAAGTCCCAGCTGATTGGCTGGGTCTTCTTTGGTTGCCCTGCACAGGAAAATGGAGCTGGAAAGCAGGTTAGTGGGATGGGGAGGGAATGGGGATTTTGCAGTATATCCTTCCCCTGCCATGCCCACCAAGCCACACCCACCAAGCCAAGCCATGCCCACCAAGCCACGCCCACAGAACCGGTAGTAAGAAATTTTGAATCCCACCACTGATTGAAAAGTGGAAGAGAATTAGAGTAGTGAAGTTGCAAAGGACAGTGATTATATACAGGTCATCCTTGACTTACAACAGGTTTTTTTTTAATGATTGTTCAAAGTTACAGTGACACTGAAAAAAGTGACTTATCACCATTTTTCACACTTACAACCGTTGCAGCCTCCCCATGATCACAAGATCAAAATTCACACACTTGGCAACTGGTTCGTAGTTACAATGGTTGCAGTGTCCCAAAGTCACCTGATTCCCTCCTTTGAGACCTTCTGACAAGCAAAGTCCATGGGGAAAGCCAGATTCACTTAACAACCGTATGACTCCCTTAACCACCGCAATGATTCATTTAACCACTTTGGCAAGAAAGGTAATAAAATGGGGGGAAAATTCATTGAATAAATGTCTCACTTGGCAATATACATTACGGGGACCAGTCCAGGAGTCTGGGGAGGACTCGGACGAGGGTCCTGTGTCTGATGCAGAGATGGGCCAGGTCCATTTGGGAGTTATGTGCTGACTATGGAGCCTCCAGAATCTGGCAGCAGCGAGGCAGAGGAACAAGGGGAGCCTGTTCCCAGTGCGCGTGTGCACAGAGCTGCCAGAAGGCAAGAACAGCTAAGACAAAAGGGGTGACTCGGGAGTAAGGCTGGGAGGTGGTTGCCCTTCCCATAAGATATAAAGGAGGTGCAAAGTTAGAGAAACCTTTGCAGGAAGCAAAGTCGTTTGCTCTGTTCAGATTAAACCTTGAAGCTCTGTGTGGACTTTGTACTTCAGTTGGTTTTTTTCAGTTCATTTGGCACTTTAGTTGCTGGCAGCAACTCTAAGGAGAGAAAGGTGGGTGCTTATCTCGAGGGACTGTTTGGGACTCATTATGGCTAGGAATGAACATAATTCCCAGCATTGAAATAAAACAAGAGTTGTTTGGACTAAGCATGTGCTTAATTACGGTCTCAGGAAGCTTTGGGTCAGAACATCTACGTAGACCCAACTAAGACCTCAGTTCTATGACAGGACTACTTGTCTAAGTGGCTGTAATAGGAGAAGAGATTCCAATTAAAAAGAAGTTTTGGCTTTTGTTCTGTAGATCTTGGTCCTGTCCAATGCAGCAAAAAATTCGACATCTGTAGGCGAGATTGTCAACCTGGTATCTGTTGACGTGCAGAAGCTGATGGACTTAATCATTTATTTTAATGGGACCTGGCTTGCTCCTATCCGGATTGTCATCTGCTTTGTCTTCCTTTGGCAGGTAAAAAAAACAACACAACTCTGTCTGTGGAGATTCTCAGTCATCCAGGTCATGGTTGTCCTAAAGGTGCTTTTTCATGAGGCAATTGGACTCCCTGTTTTTCTTGGAAGATATTTCACTTCTCATCCAAGAAGCTTCTTCAGCTCTGACTGGATCCTTCCATTCCCCACCCTTAGGTCTGAGCTGAAAAAGCTTCTTGGATGAGAAGCGAAAGGTCTTGGTTTTGAACATCGCTCTCCCAAATGCCTTCTTAATTCATCACGATGCGGTCCACACACGGTGTGAAGCCAAATCATCCTTTCATAAGCCATATCTTAGTATCCTCCATATATAAAGCCATTTTGTATATATTATTCACAGATCTGGAAGGGTTTTCCTCCTTCAGATGTCGAAATAGCAATAGCACACTTATATACCACTTCACAATGCTTGTACAGCCCTCTCTAAGTGGTTTACAGAGTCAGCCTCTTGCCCCCAACAATCTGGGTTCTTATTTTACCCACCTCAGAAGGATGGAAGGCTGAGTCAACCTTGAGCTGGTCAGGATCAAACTGCTGGCAGTGGGCAGAGTTAGCCTGCAATACTACTTTCTCATCACTGTGGACCAAGGAAGGAAGGAAGGAAGGAAGGAAGGAAGGAAGGAAGGAAGATAGTACTCAGACTTATATATTGCTTGACAGCCCTCTCTAAGCAGTTTACAGAGTCAGCATATTGCCTCAACAATCTGGGTCCTTATTTTACCCACCTCAGAAGGATGAAGGCTAAGTCAACCTTGAGTCGGCGAGAATCAAACTGTCAAACTGCAGGCAGCTGGCAGGCAGCAAAAATAGCCTGTAGTACTAACTACTGTGCCACCATGGCTCTTATATTGATATTCAAATAATTGATTCACTCCTGGGTTCACCTGGCCACTAGATGTCTCCATTGGCTCATTAAAAATGGTGAAAAGCTCTGCCAAGGGAACAGATTTGGGTTGTTAATCAACTTTCTCATGAATATTTCAATGCTGATGCCATTTTCTTACGGTTCAGTAGAAAGAGATGTACAAAAATAGTCTGCGTTCTTTTTATTTACATTCTGGTTTCTGTATCTATTAGCTCCTCGGACCCCCTGCCTTGTCTGCTGTTATCATATTTTTAGTTCTCTTACCTCTGAATTTTGGGATCAGCAAGAAGAGAAGCCAGCTCCAGGTATGGGTCCCAAAACACTTTTGTTTTCTGGAAAATAAGTAAATCTAATTCCCCTCCCTTAGCCTGTCTTTGTATCACCAGGTGATTTCCAAAAATGTTGGCTAAGAATTCTCACAAATGGCAACTAAAACCCATGCTAGTTGGGCATCTTGGGACTTGTAGTCCCAAGATCTGAAGGACTTCCAGATGGGGAATGTTGACAAAAACCATAATTCCCACCCCAGAACATTGTTTGTTTCATTGTTACCTGTGAACAGAGGAGAATCAGGAGCTACTGAAATAAGTAATTGCTGGACACACATCTTTTTTTTTATTAACAAATTTTATTCAGTTTTTCACATAAAAACAAAAATCTCTTTTTAGTGGACAACATATTTCCGGGTCATCACCTTTACATACAAATATGACAGCAATTATACATTCATATATGCATACTTAATTCTATTATTACCTTAGTCCAATTTAGTTAAATCTTCTTCTTCCTTTGCTGGACACACGTCTTTAATTTCATATCATTTGTTAGTAGATATGGAATTTTGCTTTGGATTCTAACAAAAAGTTTGAGCCTGAAATTGACCAAATTTGTGCCCCAATGGGAATTTCAATGTTTCAGGTAGACAACTTCTGTCCAGCTATGACTCTCTGCTGGTGTTTTGTATTTTTTCCTTATATGCTGTATATTACAATGTTGTAAACCACTTCAGTCATGCCTGTTGGGACAATGTAAAGCAAAGCAAAAAGATCTGCAAGAAGTAATATAACCGAATAAAATAAGACAAATACGAATCCTTTAAGATGGATCTTCTAACCAACCAAGGTCAAACCCATGTTTGGATAAGTTGATCTTCAGAACTTGTGAAATGCAGAAAGAGCCAGGAATGAGCAGAGCTCCATGTGTGTTTGTTTCTATGCGTAATGTTGTGAATGATTAGACGTATTACTGTGCTTATTGTCGTGTTCCATTTCTCCTGTTGGTGCTACAAACTTGAATTCCATCTTTCAGGAAACGCAGATAAAGTACAAGGACAGCCGTGCAAGGCTTACCAGCACCATCCTCAGTGACATGAAGGTCCTCAAACTTCATGGCTGGGAGAAGAAGTTGATGAGCAAAGTGCTGGGCATCCGAACTCAAGAACTTCAAGCTCTCAAGACGTCCCAGTTCCTCTTCTCAGCTTCTCTTGCTTCTTTCCAGTCATCTACTTTTCTGGTGAGCTGTGCAGATTGACCTTCCCCAAATGGCATATGATAGGGTTTTGAGAGGGTTTCACCTCTTCTCTGGTTGCTTCTCTACAGATTTCATTCATCATCTTTGCGGTCTACACGTTGTCAGATAAGACAAATGTCTTGGATGCTAAGAAAGCTTTTGTTTCTCTTAGCTTGGTCAACATTCTCAATACTGCCCATTCCTTCCTTCCATTTTCCATTAATGCTGTTGTCCAGGTGAGTTGTTTTGGCTACATGGCATCAGTTTCTGTGGTGGGTCATCATTCCAGGCACTCCAGGTCTGCATCTCCAAGTGGTCTTCCTGTTAGGCAGTTGCTTCAAGCATGTTGTCACCTCCAAAGAAATCATCTTGCTCTTTCTCCTTGTTCTTCTTCCCGATGATTGGCCTGGAGATCCCAGGGCAAAGGAAGGAGGATCTAGAACCACCATCCAAAAATGATCTAAAAGCTTGAGGGAACCTTGGTTTTTTTCTAGATCAGAAATTACCAAATTCTTCAGATCATTGATTCCTTCATGAACTTTCAAATTGTACATAGACCTCTTCCTCAAGCATTTATTTTGAAAATCGTTTAATAAATACTACTTTAACTGACAGTACTACAAACAGCAGTAACATAATAAATAAACAAGACCAGTAACATCACGTGGCTGATAGAGACAACTAAAGGTCACTCTTGTTGGCAGTTGACCATCCAACTTTGAATAATACTATCTCAACACTAATGATCTCATCTTCAGGTCTACAAACTGGGTTGGAGCTCTCCAGAAACCCTAAGAACTTAATTGACCCCAGTTGACCTTTTATCCTTTATATCGGGTGTAGACCACCGACTGACCTCCTAGACATTTACTGGCTCCTTTTTGACCTCCAGCTTTTTATTGACCGCTTTGATGGTCTCATTGACCCCTGGGGGGGGGTTCCATATTGATCACTATGGGGAATCACTCCAAACCTTTCCTTAACTGCATGGTGTCAACGTGTCTTTTGTTCTAGGCAAAAATTTCCATCCGTCGTTTGGCTACCTTTCTATCTCTTGAAGAATTAGATCAAGCTCAGGTGGGCATTGAGTCTTCAGACCGCAGTAAGTATTGGCTTTGTGTATCCTCTCCATGGATGGTCTAGAATTTCCAATCAGTGTGAACACGATTGATTATTCTGAGAATTGAAGCCTGCCCGTGTATACGTCATGCAAATTGGGTGGGATCAGATTAGCCACTGTAAACCTTCAAGGGCTATGTTGTGGTTAGCTGGCAGCAGGTGCGGACTTTTTTCAGCATCACCCTAACTTTGCACACTCATGGAAGGAGGGCTCTTAAGTCAAGAGCTGACAGTACTATTGTTGAGTATATGATGAGGACATGACAAAAGAGAATTAAGCAGATGTACATAATTATCTACTAAAACGTCTATGGGGATACGGCAGCGGCCTCATCACTGGTTATGCCATAACAAACCTGTTCTTTTCCGACTAATGTAGAAAGTTAAAAAACCATCACCCCCAAATATGTGCTGATTCACGCATTTTTTCCTGTTAGGTCCAAATTGCATCATTGTCACGAATGGAACTTTCAGCTGGTGTAGAGAAAGCGACCCTTGCCTGAAAAGGTAAAATTTGGGTGTTCAATGGAAGTACAGTTCTCTCCTCCTCCTTTACAGCCGAAAAAACTAGGGAAGATGCCATCTGATCAAGTATTGGGATTGGAAGTTTTTTTTACTACCGGTTCTGTGGACGTAGCTTGGTGGGCATGGCAGGGGAAATATACTGTAAAAATTCTCCATTCGCTTTCTATACCTCCAGATCTCCATCTTGAATTTAGTCTGGCTGGTGCCAAGATCTGTGGTGACCCGGAGTGTAACACAAACGTAACAAAATCCAAAATGTAAATAAATGTCCTTTAATGCCTCCAACTTGGCCCCACTGTTCAATAATTCTCAGTTGGAGATAAAACTTATTCAAAAATAGTCTTCAAAAGAAAGCAATACAGTCCGAACTTAATGAGCAGATAGAGGTGAAATAAAAAAACCCGAAACAAACTACAATAAAGGAATTTCCATAATGGGCCAGGATAAGTAATTACCAACTTCAAGGAGATAACAAGGCATAGTCTGTTGGAAGGACGCCAACCAAGATAACTCCAGCCCAAAATAACACATGCTTTGCTTCTGGCAATGCTGTTTTGTAATCGACTCTCTTATATACTAGTCTCCCCAGCTGCAACCGATGAGGAGGATCATGGCCGCTTCCTCTCTCCTAAGCCAAGTTGTTTCCTTCTCCATTCCTGCCCTTCCCCAGCCTCCTCCACAACCTCCGAAGCCACACCTCCACTCCCTGTCGGCTGTTCCTCCTCTCCCTCGGAGTCCAATTCTACCAAGGGCATGACAGGATCTTTCCACCCACAACATGGCTTGAAAACAACTAAGATGTACCTGTTTTACCTTTATAGGATGAATCTTACTGTACCTCAGGGCAGTCTGTGTGCCGTGGTGGGGCAAGTGGGAGCTGGGAAATCCTCCCTGCTCTCAGCATTACTTGGCGAACTGCAGAGGATTGAAGGCTCTGTAGTAATAAAGGTAAAAGCACTTTAAAACAGAATTTATTCAAGGTGTGGTCAGCCTTCCCCAACCCAAGCGCTATCTGAATAGGTGGACTTCAACTCCCAGAATTCTCAGCAATGGACTCATTGGCTCGGGAACTCTGGGAACTGTGGACCACTTTGGAAGGTCAACCAGACGGGGGAAATCCGGTTTAGGGTTTGGTTTATTTGTGTGTGTGTGTGTGTGTGTGTGTGTGTGTGTGTGTGTGTGTTGTAATTCTAGTGTGGGGGTCAGCAACCTTAAACACTCACAGAGTAGTGGTGGGATTCAAAATTTTTTACTACCGGTGCTGTGGGCATAGCTTGGTGGCTGTGGCTTGGTGGGTGTAGCTTGGTGGGCATGACAGGGGAGGGTTATTGCAAAATCCCCATTCCCTGCCCCACCCCACTAACCTGCTTTCCAGCTCTGTTCTCCTGTGCAGGGCAACCAAAGGAGACCCAGCCAATCAGCTGGGACTTGGGAGGCAGAGAATCGATGGGGTTGGCAGGGCCAGTCAGAGGTGGGATTGGCCGGTTCTCTGAACTACTCAAAATTTCTGCTTCCGGCTCTCCAGAACTGGTCAGAACCTGCTGAATACCCACCTCTGTCACAGAGCCACAAAGGTCCTAATTGGAAGCCGCCCATTCAATTCTGGAGCTGACCGGAAGCCTGGTTCCCCCCACCATAGAGTCCCCTCCTAGTGTAGCATCCTTTTTTCTCTACCTGTCCTAACCAAAGTATTGCAGCACAAGGGTAATTTTTGAGGAAAAAACAACAACAGAATAACAGAGTTGGAAGGGACCCTGGAGGTCTTCTAGTCCAACCCCTATACCAGGGGTTGTAAAGCTCAAGGCCTGGACCGCCTCCTGCAGCACTGTTGGCCAAAACAGGACATGGGGGCCCCCCATTTTGGGCCTGGATGACCAAAAGCTCTATCACTTGTGGAGCCAACCAGAAAACCTGCCCATTGCCATAGAGTCTCCTCCTGCCATGCCGTGCTCCCCCCCCCAACTAACTGGAAGCTCCTCTCAAAATTGTGGTGCCAAACGGGGACCGGGAGACACAGCAGAGGGATGAAAGGGCCACATGCGGCTCCAGAGCCGCAGGTTGCCGATTGCTGTTCTAGTGTTTCATGTCATGGTTTTAGTAGTTTGAGTCACTTCAGTGGCGGGCTTTCCATTGGGGAATCCACCACTTTCAAAACTGGGCCTTGAGAAGTTGTGATCTCTGTTGGAACTCAAGAATGGCTTGGTAGGACCTCTTTTTGGGAAATGGAGAAGCTTTGGCTTCAGCAGATGGAAGTTTACCTCCATCTCTCTTTCTCTCTCTCTCTCTCCTTACCAAAATCCTCTTTCTGGTTCTGCTGACCATTGGGTGAGCATCACTGCATTTCTTTTCACAGGGCACCACAGCGTTCGTTCCCCAGACGTCCTGGATACAAAATGCTTCCGTGGAAGACAATGTCGTATTTGGGAGAAAAATGGAGAGGACGTGGTACAACCAGGTGGTCAAAGCCTGCGCCCTGCAGCCTGACATAGACGGTTTTCCAGCAGGAAGCCGGACAGAAATTGGAGAGAAGGTTCTTGGATCATTGCTATATTATTTATCTAGCTAAAAGGAATAAGGAATGTACATTTGGTTGGGTAGATGGTGGTAGTGTTGGTTGTTGTCGTCTCCCTCCTTTTCTTCCTCCTCCTCCTCCTCCTCCTCCTCCTCCTCCTTCCCCCCCAGTGAAATAAAGGAACTCACCTAACGGTGGAGTTGTCACTGCTAGAGCTTCTGTTTTGCAACCAAAAGAATTCCAGGTTCTTCACAGGACAATCAAAACTGCCGTTTATTTTAAACAAACCTTTGAGATCTCTTCCCAATCATTGTAGTTTGGGGAAGAGGACCTGGGACCCTCCAAAGGTTGCTAATTCTGTCCCCAGAAACTTTAGCTACCATGATCTATAGCAGGGGCCTTCAAAAACTTGACATCTTTAAGGCTTGTGGACTTCAACACCCAGAATTCCTCCTCTTCCAGTCATGTTAACTCAGGAATTCTGGGAGTTGAAGTCTATAAGTCTTAACTTGCCAGGTTTGAAGACCTCTTGATCTATAGCGAGAGGGATACTGGCAGGTCTATTGAGGACTGTTTTCATGCTGCCATAGGGCATCAATCTTTCTGGAGGGCAGAAGCAGAGGCTCAGCCTGGCTCGTGCAGTTTATATGAAGGCCTCAGTTTACCTCTTGGATGATCCCCTCTCTGCTGTGGACGCTCCCGTTGGATGGCACATTTTCAATCATGTTCTTGGACCCAACGGCTTGTTGAAGGAAAAGGTACTTGGTGTTCCAAACTGTCCTATAGTATCAGAACAGGATCTAAGGCAGTACAGATAGTCTCCGACTTATGACCACAATGGAGCCCAACCTTTCTGTTGCTAAGCAAGACAGATGTGAGTTTCCCCCCCCATCTCCATTTTATGACCTTTCTTGCCACAATCGTTATGTGAATCACTGCAGTGGTTCAATTGGTCACACGGTTGTTAAGTGTGACTTCCCTCATTGACTTTACTTGTCAGAAGGTCACAAACGGGCATCAGGTGACCCTACTGCAACCATCGTAAATAGGAGTCCATTGCCACGCCCCTGAATTTTGATCACAGTATAGGGTTAGGGTTAGGTCAAGTGGAGATTATAGGTAGCCCTCAACTTACGGCCATAAGGGAGCATTAAGCATCATGGACAATGGAGGGAATCTACGACGAAAAGTTCTGTAATGTATGGTGTTATCCGCCCTCTTCTCCTAACGGACACCTCAAAGCTATTGGTCAACACCTCAGGAATTGTCCTCTTGCTTTCCAGACTCGCATCCTGGTGACCAACACCATCCACGTTCTACCCATGGTGGACAACATCATTGTGATGGTGAATGGAGAAATCTCCGAGAGGGGCTCTTGGCAAGAACTGATACGAAAGCAAGGGGCATTCGCAGACTTCTTGAGGTCCCAGAACCCTGAAGAAAAAGAAGAGCAGGATTTGCAAATGACTGCTGGTCATCCCAAAGGTCATCTATACTTGAGTATTATTATCCATGAATAGACTCGTTAGAATTGGAGCCACTTCTTGCATTCTTGGGGGATTCTGAGAAAACCCTTCACACAATTTATTCCCGTATTCTTCAAAGGGCTGTTGATCCATAGCAAAAGTCATCTGGAAGCTGAGATTGGTAGAAGGTAGTTCCAGATAGGATAGAACAGAACAAAATGACATCAGTGCGCAAATAATGTGTAATTTGAGTCACTTTTTGATATAAATTTCTCCCTTCCCTGGATGGCCATGACTACATCATGTTGATAATCTTGTGAAATTAGTACCTTATGGACTATGGGTTATTTTATAGGACTACCTTATAGTCCTATAATCCCACCTTAGTCTTATAGGTTTTCCCAGTTGCAATGTATGACTGTGAAAGTTGGACCCTAAGGAAGGCTGAGCACCAAAGCATCCATCCCTCTGTTTGTCCATCTATCCATCCATCCATCTCTCATCTCTCTCATTTATCTATATCAAGGATCTTCAAACTTGGCAAGTTTAAGACTTGTGGACTTCAACTCCCAGAATTCCTGAGCTAATAGGACTGGAGGAGGAATTCTGGGAGTGGATGTCCACAAGTCTTAAACTTGCCAAGTTTGAAGACCCTCCTGTTGTAAGTCAAGGGCTGCCTGTGTATGATCGCAATTCCATATTTCTTGGATTGGATGGTCTTGCGTGACAGGTTGGAGCCAGAGGACTTTGCAAGCTGCATAGAAATCTTGTATGATTTACTATTTGCAGCTCCCCAAGTCGGTGCATTTTCTCAGCGTCTGTGGGCTATTCTTCTATTGTCTCTTTCTCTATCATGTCTCTTTTGAGACTTTGATTTCTCTTGACTTCACAGATGAAGAAAACACGAAGAGGATCTCCATAACTCCCGTTGAAATCCCTGGAAAGTAAGTGGTTTGTTTCTTTATTTGTATCCCAATTTTGTTATCTTTTTCAAATAAATCAAGGCAGAGAACATATCCAACGCACTTTCCTCTTCCTGTTTCCCCACAACAACAACCCTGTGAGGTCAGCTGAAGAGAGAGAGAAGGACTGGCTCAAAGTCACCCAGCTGGCTTTCATGCCTAAGGCAGGACTAGAACTCAGTCACCTAGTGATTGGCCCAAAGTCACCCAGTTGCCTTTTTTTTTTTGATTAAACAGGAACTAGAACTCACAGTCTTCTAGTCATTGACCCAAAATCACCCAGCTTGATTTCATGGCTGGGACTAGAACTCCCAATCTCCTAATGATTGGCTCACAGTCACCCAGTTAGCTTTCATGCCTAATGCAGGACTAGAACTCACTGTCTCCTAGTGATTGGCCCAAAGTCACCCAATTAGTTTTCATGCCTAAAACAAGATTTGAACTCACAGTCTTCCACTTTACTAGACCAAATTGGTTCTCGTGGCAGAACCCATATCCCCGTGGCTCTTTACACACACACACACACACACACACACACACACACACACACACACACA